AAAATCAGAAGCATCAGTAGCCATCAACTTTGTTTTTAAGGATGAACTTTACAAGCTGTAAAAGGAACAAATTTGAGTGAAAAACAGGAGAACAGGAAAGGAAGAAACAGTGATCTCTGCACTGAAGGAATAAGCTTCAAGACTGAAGTTGTTTTCTTTCCAGTTCATTCACTGGCTTCTTGCCAGATCTTTACTTCCAATGTCTCTCTGGATTTCTGCTTCCCATCTGTAACAGGGGAAACAGAATTTTTTTCCCTGCTTTTTATTTGTTTAGTCAGCTAGCTTTTTGGGCAGGGAGCTCTTTTATGCTGTACACAGTAAGAAGCTTGGTTCTGTGGGACCAAGGGACTATCACCTCTTGTGATATGAACAGTAACAAAGGGGCAGGAAGATGTGCAAAGGCATGTTTGGGAAAGATGGCCAGTAGTTCACTTTTTTTTCCCCTTTCTCTTTTGGGGGGAGGGGACAAATTCCTTCGCCTTAGTTGCCAGGGAAGTTGAAGTATTTCTGAAATGTAGCTTTGAATAGTTTGCCACAGTTCAGCATGGTGCACAGTAGGCCACATGGCTTCTTGGTGGTAGGATCCCCAATTGCAGTGGTTACCATGAATATGGTTGCCATTCTTGTAATTGATCCCAGATTGGGTAGTTTTTCCATTTCAGGGTATGGGGAAAAATCTGTATTATTTTGTTAGCATTAAGTAGTAATTGTGAGTGTTAACAGTTGAGCAGGCAGCAGTGTTGGTGGGGAAACTCCTGGGTGAGGGGCTCAGTGCAGTGCTGTGGGTAGAGGTGGTGGATTTGGCCAGTGTCTGATCATGTCATTTGATGTGCAGCCAGCCGTGTGCTGGCTGTTCCCCACAGCATGTTGAAGAACTCTCTCACACACTTGACATACCTAAACTCAGGTTTCAGAGGTGAGTCAGATTAACCTGAGGCATTGGATGTTGTGACCTACAGTCTCCCTGGGCATAATTTCTGGGGGAAAAAAATTATTGTGTAACTAGATATGTACCTTTAATTTTCAGACATTGTCACAAGACTGTTTTCAGCAGGGCAAAATGCATTTTGCCCATAGTCTGGTCTGTAACTGGAGTTGCATCTGGTGCTCCTGGGAATGCCAAATCTCACATCTGATCTGAAATGCCAATGAGCGCATATGAAGCTGTTAATGTTTGTGTGAGGTTTTTTAGTCCTCATTACCAACCTGATAGAAAGATAATTCCTCAGCTGTTGTTCCAACCTGTGGGATTTTATCCACTTAATTAATTTTCTTTCTCGTTAAGAAAAATCTCTTTATGCAACAAGGAGCTGCACTTGACTTGCTTTTCAGAGAACCTTCCCATGTCTGTGTCAAAGGCACAGAGGCTCCAGAAACTGGAGGGTGAGCCCTAGGGGGCAACATGCTTGTGGAGGCTGAGCTTGGAAATGCTGCCTTGTATGCTAAGGGCAAGCTCCTGGAGGGGAGTTAAGTCTGCACAGTGGATCCTGGTTCCTTCCCTGCTCCCCTCTTTTGCTACCACTCAGCAATAAAATGGAAGCTAGTGACATGACCAAAGGATAACAGACCACTTGCTGAATGCCTGCTGAGAGTTTAAAATGCCAGCCTACACCACCATACCCAACCCTTCAGCATGTCAGCAAGCTGTCTATGTAAATAAATACACATATCAAACAATAAGCAGACGCCTTTTTAACATGCACTGCTTCAGGCTGAGATACTCAGTTCTGGTGCAGCTCATCTCAACATCTGTCAAGCTAATGCCAACTCCACAGCTCCCTTTCACTTGTATTTAATGCACAAAGATTTGTGTTGTGTTAAGTAATGAGGAATTGGCTTGCTTTACATTTGTTTTGGTGTTATTTCTGATGCATAAAATGTTAAATGGGAATGCTTTGTGTTCCTCCTGATGTCTGTGTCAGTGTGTAGTACAAACTCTTGTTGCTTATGCTTGATTAAGTGGCTTTATACAACCATGTGCGTGGCTGTACAAGCATACAAGGAAGAAAAAAATGTCATTTGCAAAATATACCACCACTGGGGCCCCAAGCATAGAAACATTGAGGTGGGGCGAAAGCTGTGACGAGGGTTGGATTTAAAAGAAAATTTTTTTTGGAAACTAAATTCCAGTAGAGTCAGTTGTGCCCCTTAAATCAAACTCAGGAGCCACAGAGTCTAAAGCCTCAGGGGTGTGGGGCTCCGTGCAGTGCTGTGGGAGCAGCACCCGTGAGCTGCTAGTCCAGGTCAGGTCATGTCTAATCCAGGGTCTTGTCTCTGATAGCAGCCAGTGCTGATGAGGGAGAATGTGAGACCGGGGCAACAACCGGGAGAAATTCCACATTGAGCTTTTGTTTATTTTTGTTTTCATATTAAAAATGTATTGAGCCCAGATGATCCATAGACCACTGGGCCTACTCCTCTATTTAAAATTCACCTGCAGGCTAGAGGAGTGTTGGATGCTCTAGTGCTGCTGTCCATCTCTGTCCCTCCACATCAACCTTGGAGAAGAAGCCTGCTTTTTATTTCCTTAATTCACATTTCTCTCATGCTACTGCTTTTACTCTGGTGAGATACTAAGGAATCACATTTAAAAAAAAAAACAACAAACCAGACAGACTCTTTATGCATGAAACAAGTGTTTAAGACAGCTCTCTATCAGACTTTTTTGGAGTCTGCTGAGAGAAAGGAGAATATTTCTCCTGCCCGAGACACTTTCAATTGGATTAAACAAAGCAGAGGGGATAGGAGAGGCATGATCCTCCACTGGAAAGGAGGATTTATATGACCTGATATATCTTGTGTTTCTTAATGTCCCTTGAATAGAGATGATTGAAATCTCTCATCTGAGCAAGCACACATACATTATTAGTGACAAAAGACAAAATACATTACTAGTGACCCTAAATATATTATAACCCTCTGCTTCTGATCACAGTGGTGCATCAGCTGGAATAGTAATAGTGGATGAATGGGGCTTGCTTATATAGATAGGCCTGTTCTTCCGTAAAGGAAAGGGAAAATGGCTACTAAAGATGCCATTGAATCAAAATTTTGATGACTCTTGGTATGTCTGCCTGGGCCACTTTCCATGTTGCGGTTTCAGACCACTTTACAAACTTGAATAAACTTTTCCCCTCACTATCTTCAAAGGTCAGGAATTAATATTCAATACCTTATGTCTGAAAGGACTAGGACTGTGTGTAACAGGATATGATTTTGTTAGGCAGCAGGCACTTTGTCCTGTGCAGAAGTGTATGGATGTGCATTTTCTGCATACAAGCATTTGCACCTCTCAAATATTTGCCCTTCCCCTTCAAAGAAACCAGGATGTGGCTGGTATGTGTATATTTGAAATGCCAGGTTGTACAGAGCAGAGAAGAGTCTTGTAAACAAACACCCATGGGAGGATGAACCACCCTGAAAGTGCTGAAAGAGTCCACTGAGACACAGGCATGGAGAACATCTACCCAAGTACCATTTGGTGGGCCCTTGCTCTGCTCACTAGACCATGCTGCCCCTCTATTGCATGTAAGCTGAATGTCCAGGGTGCAGAGCACTCCTCACCAATGCCCCTGTGTTCCCACTAAAGCCTCCCTCTCATCCTGGGCAAGTGTGAAATAACACCTTGGTGCTGGGGAGCAGGGAGCTGCTGACAGAGGGCTGATACCCTGTGTGGGGGAGGAATTTCCTTTCATGTGGTCTGGTGTGACATTAGCACTTTCCAGCTGGCTTGTAGGTGGCTTTGTAATCCCTGGATTGACAAGTGGCAGTTCAGCTCAGTATGGCTGTCATCTTCAGACAGCATGACAGAGACAGGGAGCTTGACATGTCCTGCTGCAGCCCTGTCTCAGGGAGGAGTTGCTGTGACAAGACCCTCTCTCCCAGCTTTTCATATCGATCCTGAAGGAGGTGCTAAGTGTTGTGTGATGCAGAGGGGTCAGAGATGGTACCTGATGTTTCACATGGACAGTTGGTGTTGGCCCCGAGATCTGGAGAGGCTAGGCAGGGCAGAGGATTTGGGCTTCAAAAGAAAGCAAATCAACAAGTAGACTAGAGAGGAGAGAATTAATATCATGAAATGGATTTACATGGCGCCATCTTCATATCTGAACTGGAGCTGTCAGGGAGAATGAGATCCAGACTCGCTGCTGTTCTCCAGAGAGGAGCTGCTATGGAAGGATTGCTCATTTAAAGTGATGGCCCCACCTCTGTGCCCCGTGTCTGGCTGATTTCTGCAAGTAGAAAACAGATGCAATCTGGCATGATCCCCTCTCCTCTCCCACTGACCTTTCATGCCATTCTGCAGGCTCTGATTTACCTTCTTTTGCTTGCCTTATTGCTTTCACCCCTTGAGTATCTGTTGGTGTCTTCCTCCCACCCTTACCTGCCTCTTAACTCCATCACCTTTTTTTTGATCCTCAATCATTTCTGGCTCCCTCCATTCAGAATAAGTGGTACTTTAGCATCTATCCAGTAGATTAACAGATGTGTGCACCTTTGTTGCCTACAATACAGAAAGGGGGTGTGTGTGTTAAACACCTAACTACCAGTGTTTTATCACACACCACTCCATCCTCTGTTCTGGAACTTGCCTTTTGGGGACTCGCAGCACCTCTTCCTGGGCATGACACTCCTCTGCTGTGCAGAGGAGTAAGAGGGGAAGATGCAGAGCAACTGTGTTGCTTCCTCCTTATTCTGCTAGAAATAGTCCCATCCTCCTATTGCCTTCCAGTCAAAGCCCTTTTCTGGTCAGCCTTACGAACTGGAAAGTAAGGAAGAAGATTTTGCTTTTAGTCCTGACCTTGACAGGGTCTTCATGGTCACTGGGAGATGCTTCCCCTCATTTCCTTCAGGTGTACAAGAAAGAGTTAGTCTTTCCCAAGCAGGAGGAAGTAAAACAAGGTGGCAGTCTTCTACTCAGGTCCAGTATGTGTCTTATGTATTTTCCTTGCTGTTTCTGACAGGTTGACCAGCCTCGATCACAGCGTTAGAGACCTGAAGCAAGGATCCTGACAGATGCATATTCAGTACAGCCTGACTTCTTGAGGAGAACAAGTATTTCCCTGAAAGTCTGTCCCCTCAAAGCAGCACACAGGTAAGGCAGACAGTGCTTCCAGTGCTCAGGCTCACTTGCACTGGATTGAGCAAATTACTTTTTCCATTCATTTGGCTCAAGAAGGGCTTTGTCACCACTGCCTGCCACGTCTGCAGGGATGAAAGCTTACAAAGTATTTACAGCATGGGGAACGTTTCTCAGCAAAAATGTACTTTCAGAGGATCAAGACGGCCCATATGGTTGAGATAAATATAGGTTAAAAGCGTGGGAGGAATGTGCTGAAAAAAGAAAAATTTGACATATGAGGTATTAATAAAGTAATACTTAGATTTTGTATTCTAAAATAATTTTGTATTGAAAATACCTTAATTTAAACAGAAAACTTTTTAAGAAAAAGGAATAAAGGGATGTATGTTGTGGAGAAGGGGTTTAGAAAGAAATTAATTTAATAATGTTGTTTTCAACTTGGAAAGATGTATCAGGTCATCCGTAAGTGGAAAAAAACAAACACAAAAGTCTTGCAGTTCTAATTGCTATGACTCATGGAAACCAGATCTAGAAAAAATTAGGCCCTTTAGTCCAAACTCTTAATCCCCTACTAGTATGTAACATCGTTCCCAGCAGCGTCTACCAGCCCTGATTTAAATGATGGGATTTTCCCTTGTCCCCTTGGGATACTATTGCACAGACTAATAGAATTAATCTGCTTACTTCTCTTTCAACCCCTGACCGCTGCAGATGCAATTAGTAGTAGGTGATGGGGGGATTCTGTTTCCTAGGCTGTATTTTGAAGGCTTAGGGCTGTATTGTGTTAAACCAGACATCGGTTGCAAGTGTGTTTGCATGAGTGTGGCTTATCTGTCAGTACTCATTACAGCCCCATAAACGTCTCTGAACTACATTTCTCAGACTTAGGAGCTTTTCTACAATCGTAACTCAGGATCTGATAAGGGACAGACTAATGTATTTGAATGCCTGTGAGAAAGATAACATGATTGGGAGCTAAAGTGAAATGCAAAGTCATATGCTGCCAGTGCTAGAGACTCGAAGAGGCAATTTACTTCTGTGCTTCTGGAGCATTCTCTGGTCTCTTTGGCTTTTCTCCCAGACAATTTGGTAGGATGAAATTCCTTTTTGCTGTGTGTGGTGCTGCTGGAGGTACTACTGCACCTTTCCATCTGTGAATTTCAGGCTTGTCTTAGATGAATGGTGTGGGCTTCTTCTAATGTTTACTGAAAGGCTCCAGTTAAATAATCAGATACAGTTAAATGAATTTGAGATGGAAAACCATAGCTGGTTGTATTTAGTTAATACAATGTAGAGCATCTTTCTGTGACATTTCACCTGGGTTTTTTTCCTCATATTTGGAAAAGTTTTATTAGGGAGAACAGAGTTTCTAAGACAGATGAATGCTGGAATGCAGATGACTGAGTTACACCTGGAGACTACAGCAACAGCTGAGCTGTACAAATTCCTTGTGTGGATTCATCCACTTCCAAAGCGATTTAAAAACAAAAAAAATTAGAGCAGGACTCTAATTTTTTAATTAAAAACAACATCCTAATAGAAAAAGCAACTGCAATATAATTGCCATTGGATGTTTGAATGAGGCTTCAATGTGAAATGGAGCCTGGGGGTCCTGAAAAACTGGAGGCATGTGCCAGCCTTCCACATGGGCTCTGTCCTCTGGCACTTAAAGGAGAAAGTTACAGTCGTGTTCCTCCTCCCTCTCAATAAATCCTGGCTCTAACATGCCATAGCTTTTCTGGAGTATTTCTTCAAACAGAAAGCCTAAATATAATCTTAGCCACTTAGCCACTGTTGCAATCTTTCATTATCAGGATAAGTTAATTACATTTATTAAAATCTGACTAAATTGCCTGTGTTTGTCAGGTACAAAATTCTTAAACACTGAAGATTTTAAAGCTTTGATATGCTCAATGAGTCCTGCTCTAATTTTTCCATTGTTTTTAATTACTTGAAACTCTTTTCCAGTTTGGGGCTTGGCTGCTTCACGTGGTTTCGTAATGTGCTTTAAAGCATGGGGAGGTGGAGACTAAAGCCGGGGGTAATGATCCGTAGCACTCTGGATCATCTGCAGCTTATGTTCCCTGTCCCTGCTTTGCCAGGCAAGCTTTATTCCAGTGAAAGTGTCAGTAAGCCCAAGGCAGATAGGCACTGTTCCTTCTCTCCACTTCGCTTTTTCTTTACCCTGAAAGTTTATCTTGTGCTCACCTTTTAAAAGCTTTGCATTAGCTGGGGGGCCGTGAAGTAAAAGGCATGCTTTAAATACAGATGCTGGTGATAGTCCTTTCAAAACTGCATTTCTCAAGCTGGGAGCTATTGACCCCTTTCAGTGCAGTCACAAAGAAATTCAAGAGGAAATGGAGGGTGAGGGCCAGCAGGGAATATATATATATATATATATAAATTTTTTCCCCCTAAGTTTTCTTCTTACTCCACCCCCTGCCAAGCTGGCTATTGTTTGTGCCTCCACATGAGATACCAGTGGCCACATAAGGAAAATGGCATAATGTTACATTCTTTCTAAAAATCGATTTCTTACAGTTACTTTTTCTTCCACTCTTGCTGAAAGTTGTTCTGTTTTGATGCAAGCTCTAGGCAAAAGGAAAGTACACGTGGTAGCTCATGGTATACATGGTATAGCATCTTGGGCTGTGCAAAAGACTTACTTTGTTTCTATTACCTCAGTTCAGGTGATGAGGCAAAGCAGCAAAACAGCAAATGATGAGGTCCAGCTACTATGACCGGAGGAGAGGATGTTGCATTTTCCTGCATTTTTAACTCAGTAATAATGATGTTTGTTTTCTTGCCTTCTTTTTCTTGCTTAAGAGGATGCTCAGGCCATGGGACAGAGGCAGGGAGCACCCCTCTGCACCCCTTTTCATTCACAATCTCCCTTCATACTCATACATGTTTGCAGCTGAAGTGCTGAGTGAGTGGCGTGCGCCAGTGTGGGCCAGCAGCTTGCTCTCTGTTGGAAGGCCAATCCCACTGCTGGGGATGAGCACAGCCTGATATCCCAGCAGGCAGATGAAATGCTTGAGCCACAGGAAGCCAGGCTGTGAGCAGCAGTATTTCAGGGGTGAAGTTCTGTGGGTAGCACGGGTCAGTCTAAACATGCATCAGCTCAGGGATAGGACTCCTGAATTTTGGGATTTTTTCCTGGTGCAGCTGTCACTTGTTGATGAACAGAAGCTGCCTGCTTTTTTGAAAAAGTCTGAACTTCAAACACATCTATTTAGCAACTTCTACAAAGGAACAGCTGGAGCAACATGAGCACAAATAAGGCCGAATCCCTTGACTCCAGAAAGCAGAAGCAGAGCCTGGAGTGGGAAAAGCATAGGTTTGGGAGCTGGGAAAAAGATAACTCTTGGAGAGGAATGAGTGCATGCTTGTGCATGTGAGCCTAAGACATGGGCACTCTTCCTTTTGCATCCTCCTGTAGCCTCTTGAATTGGGATGCAGTTTTTAGTTGTGCTTTCTATTGTTGCTATCACTTCTCGTTCCTTGTGATGCTCTGCTGATTGTCCCCATAAAAATCTGCTGAACAACTGATAATGTTGCAAACTTGTTAAAAATTTAAGTAGAAAAAACCCAACTCCTTCTTAGAAAGAAGAAGCAACAAATTTTGAGGTTCATTTACCACAATTATGTCACAATACTCAATATGTGTTCTGCTGAGGTGTGATTACAGAAGTGGAAAAAGGGAAAGTAGTTCCTATAAACACATTTTTGGGAAGAATATTAATAGTTCAATATTATTATGAGGATTATCAGTGTGTGCAGTGACAATATACACTTTTTTTTCCTTATTAAAATGTTGAACAGTTTGACAACTTTTAAAGATTTTGTGAGAATGGAGTAAGGACTTTTTAAAGGTTCAGAATTTTTATATAAGCCTGTAAATGGAAGCTGCATTGACCAAAAGAATTGGATATCATACTGAGAAAGTTCTAATTTTCTTTAATTTTTCTTTTGACTGTGAATTAAATTGTTTGGAGAAGCTGTGCTACTCTCCAATACCTACAAAATTAGTCTCCAAGAGAATCTTCCTCTATCCTAAATTGTATTTATACTAGAGATAAAGCTGGGGAAGCCTTCTGGGCTTTACTTTGCTCTGAGCTTGGTATAGCAGGGGAATGAGCTCACATAGCTTTCTCTTTATGAAAGGCAATTTGGTGCCTCCTAAATGCTGTCCAGGGTGGTATCAAGAGGAGCTATCACAGCGAGCGGTGTGGAACGATGCGATGCCCCGTGTGCTCGGTTCTCAAATTACCAGTGAGGCGGCAAATGGGTTCTGACATGTACATGGCTGGCATGGGACATCTGAGTTAGCTCTGCACAGATAAATGGGATGCTCCTGGCCCAGCCGTTGTTCCAAGCTCCCTGCAAGCTCCCAGGCCAGGTGTTTTGGTGGCAGCCTGCTTGCACTGTAACTGTCCCAGGAGCTGCCGTGGCCGACGTTTGCTGTGCGCGCTAAGCGGGGAGAGAGGAGCGTTGAGGGTGAGTGCCAGGTCAGCCATGCATCCCAAGTATCTTCTCTGAGGAGCAGAGCTTGTGATCTCAGCTGGGATAGAGGGAGGTTTCAGCTCTTCTGCTGCAGGAGGTGCTCCTCAGGCTGTAAGTGGCTGCTGACAATGTGGCACGGGTTTGCCGCTTCTGTCTCTAATGGCTCTAGAGGACTCAAATGTTGCTAGAACTGATTCTGCCAGCAGTGGGCTGACCTTTTGGGAGGTATTGTCCCAGGGAATTGGAGCTAATCCTTCTGATGCTCACTGTGGGGCATGTGGGGACTTCTTTGGGCTATGCTGTTTCCCTATGAATTTGGGAGCTTGTGTAACCTGGAAACGACCATGATGGAAGAGGAAAGAAATTTTCATTAGAAATATATCTCTAACAGCTCCTGTCACTTAACACTGAATGCTACAGAGTAATTTAAAGCTTGTTTGACTAGCTCTATCATGGGTAAAGTGCTTTGTCAAGGGAAAATGAGGTGTACCCAATGTGACAGGACA